TGGAAGTGTTGTCATCATGCTGGGGATGTCTCATGATGACGCTCTAGCATTTTGATCAAAAACTCTATAGTAACCATAGAGTTTCAGCCAAAATACTAGAGCGTTGATGTGCTGTGTCCCCACCGTGATGATGTCACTTCTGTGTGATGTTATCATGCCAACGACATCACGCACAGCTATGTTGTCCCACCCCACACACTCCCAGACGGCTCCCTCCCACCCCCCGCTGCCAGGAGAATCAGACCCGGTATCCCCACTCTGCATCCTGAGTTCCTTCTCTGCAACCGGCCTTCTGACTAGGATATAAGAAGTCTCCATTCTGATTTGTATCTGACGAAGGGAGCTTTGCGTTGTGAAAGCTCATACCCACAAAACCCTGTTGGTCTGTAAGGTGCTACTGGACTCAAATCTAGCTGCTGTACTGCAGACCAACACGGCTCCCCTCCGAAACTGTCTTGCATATTGTTTGGTGTTTTTTTGGTGGGTCCTGATAAAAAGGTGTTTGATGGGTTTTGGATTTTGCTTTCAACTACTGTTGCCTCCCCTCCGCCCGTCACAAATTCTGTCTTTAGTGCAACCGCTTCCCTTGATGGATTCTGGTGTCTTACGGTTTCCCGTGCCTTTGAGGAGCCCGTTCTCATCCGGTTGCAAGCTGGTCCTCACATTCTTGCCCACCAGGAGCTGTGTCACTCCTGAATGAGTATCCTTGCCTTGTGCAGCTATGCTGATGAATAGCGACTTCGTCCCTAGAGCCAGCGCCTGCAAGGAGATGACTGTTATTGGGAGCATCCATCAGATGCCGATAGGATGGTTCCTGCTTAGGCCTCCAGGAAAACAAGGCGTGAAGATGAATACGCAGTCATGCTGATATCTAGCTTTGCCTCGTGCCTGCAGGGTGGGTGGAGACGCCACTTGCATGAGCATACACAAGGTCTTCGATGGGGCTGTTTCAGAAGGTCCTCTTTTGGACTTAGATGAAAAGGCTCAGCAGAAGGACGGATTCTGCAGCTGCTCAGGGGGTGGCCACAGAAGGTTTCTGCTGATGGAAGCGGGGTGACCTTCGCCAATTCCCTTCCTCCCGTGTTAGACCTCTAAAGTCCCCAAGGATCAGCAGGGGGTGGGGGCATTTGGTGCTGCAGCAGGACAGGAGAGGCGAAGAAGCTGCTGTCCATGGAAGTGACTGGTAGATCCAAACCATGGATCATCATTTGTAGTGCACTGCAGTGAAATGAGCAGCACTGAAGTGTAGTGCAGTGCGTGACTGTTGTTTAGTTCCCTCAGCAAATGATGCTCCACACATCACTGGCTGTTGTATTATTGTTGCCCTATAGCAGGACTTGTCTTGTCCACATGTGAAAATCCAGTTGTGAATTACCGCTGTACCAGATAAGCCATGTTAGCCTCACTGCAGAACTGACATACTTAAAAATAAACAGAGGTCCTGCCTTTAACAACTGGGGGGCTTATCACTGCCGTGCCTGTGGAGTTCTGCCTCTGGTTATTGCACTGCTGTGAAAGGGCCCACAAAGCCTCAAAACATGGCACAGGACCACTTTGGTACTGACAAAAAGGGAAAGGGACTTATTATGAACTGGGGCTGCCAACCTCCAGGTGGGGCCTGGTTGTCAGGTTCCACAGCAAATAACTTTTCACACACGTTTCCTGAGAAGCGTTATGCTTTATTAGAGTACAAAACCGGTACCATATCCACAGGATTATTGTTAGGAATCACTATAGGGCGGGAACATCCGTACATATAGCCAGACGAGGCGAATAGCTAAGCAAATGAACTTCGAGCGCGCGGGCGGGAATTCTCCCGGCGGGAAGTTACATAATGAGCGGGAGACTTGCAGGGCCCCTGAGAGCAGAAAGATTCACACCAGTGGTGGACGGCAAGCCCTCCCATCCTTACAAGGCCAGACTGATAACGTCGTCTAGCCGAGCCAGCTCCCATGGTCTCCGAGGCAATGTTTACGCAAAGCTGCTGAGCTACGAGCAAACGGGAACGGAAGGACAGAAGCAACATAAAATGGCAACTAGCTGACACTGGTGATCTCCTGCTATTACAATTGATCTCCAGGTGACCAAGATCATTTCCCCTGCAGAAAATGGCTGCTTTAGCAGGTGGACTCCACAGCCTTATACCCATCTGAGGTCCCTCCCCTAACCCCAGGCTCCACCCCCCAAATCTCCAGGAATTCCCCACCACCGCCCAGAGCTCGTAGGGTTGCCAGCTCTGGGTGGGCAAATACCTGACGATTTTGGGGGTGGAGCCTGGGGAGTGGAGGGGTTGAGAAAAAGAGTTGGTTTTGACACCCTGCTTTTCTCTACCTGAAGGAGTCTCAAAGCGGCTTGCCATCACCTTCTCTACCTCTGCCCACAACAAGCACTTTGTGAAGGAGGGGGGGCCCAAGAGAGCTCTGAGAGGACTGGCCCAAGGTCACCCAGCAGGCTTCATGTGGAGGAGGTGTGGGGAATCAAACCAGGTTCTCCAGATTAGAGTCTGCCGCTCTTAACCACTACACCACATAGGGTTGCCAGTCCCCAGTTGGGGGTGGGAATCTCCCAGTTTTGTGGGTTTCTGCCTGCCGCTGGCCAGTTGGCCAGTGGGAGAAAATCTTCCCCAACAGTAACGTGGAGCAACGTGCCTATGTCACCCGGAAGTGATGTAGGTTGGTGATGGGGGGGGGACGCTCTGGTTTTGGAGCAAAACTCCATGGTTTGAGGGCAATTTTACCACAGAGTTTTGCTCAAAACCCAGAATGTCGCCCCCGATGTGCCTACATCACACGATATCACTTCTGGTGACATTGGCATGTTGGGGGTGAAGTTTCTGGCTCCTGGAGCATCCCCCCCCCATCCCCTGGCTGGCGTCTCAAAGGGACCTGGCAACCCTAACACCTCACTGGCTCCACCACACTGAGGGGAGGGTACAATCCCATGTGGGAATTCAGGGGCTTGCCTTGCAATGGCTTGTCTCCTTTCTCCAAGGTCGGGGACAAAGGGTGGCCATTGGGGAGCAGCAGTCCCAAAGGCACCCACTAGTGTGTGGTGTGCCCCAAGGGGCTGTGCTCTCCCCGATGTTATTTAACATCTATATGCGCCCCCTTTCCCAGATTGCCTGGAGGCATGGGCTGGGCTGTCACCAATATGCGGATGACACCCAGCTCTATCTGATGTTGGGCGGTCAGTCTGACTCTACCCCGGAAGATCTGGACCGGGTGTTGCAGGATGTGGCTGGATGGCTTAGACTGAGTCGATTGAAATTGAATCCGACGAAGACGGAGGTCCTGTGCCTGAATCGGAGTGGTACGGGGGTAGGGATCCCACTCCCAGCCTTCAGTGGGGCGCCGCTGGTGCCAGCTCTGAGGGTCAGGAGTTTGGGAGTGCTCCTGGATGCTTCCTTAACAATAGAGGCCCAGGTAGCAGCCGCTGCCAAGGCAGCCTTTTACCATCTTCGGCTGATTAGGCAGTTGGTTCCCTTCCTCGAACACAATGATCTGGCCGCAGTGATCCATGCTATGGTCACCTCGAGGTTGGACTACTGCAATGCTCTCTACATGGGGCTGCCCTTGGTGCAACTCCAGAAGCTGCAGCTGGTGCAGAATGCGGCGGCCAGGCTGTTTATGAGTCTCCCCAGGTGGGAGCACATCCAGCCTGTGCTTAAGACTCTGTCTTGGCTCCCAATAGCATTCCAGATTCGCTTCAAGGTGCTGGTTTTGACCTTTAAAGCCCTTTATGGTCAGGGACCGGCCTACCTGAGGGACCGCCTTTCCCGTATGTTCCCCAGAGAGCACTGCAATCAGGATCCCAAAACCGCCTGGACCTCCCTGGCAAGCTTCCTGCCAAGAACAGGGCCCTGCGGGACTTATCACAGTTCCGCAGGGCTGTGAAAACAGAACTTTTTAGGCAGGCGTTCCGCTAGGAGCGACGTCCTACCAGCAAGCGCCCTGTGTGAACTCCGAATCAACACGACCCAGCGCGGTGGCACCGCTGAATGTGTCCCTAAACTGCACTTTATTTTTATCGCCATCGAATGAATGTTTTATATTGACTTGTCTATGTTTTTAAATGATGTATTTTATTCTATCACTGTAAAATGTATACTGCTTATCAGTTCCTGGAAGCCGCCCTGAGCCCGCCTGGCGGGGAGGGCGGGGTAAAAGTGAAATAAATAAATAAATAAATAAATAAATTTTAATTTGGAGAGTCCCCCCTCCAAAGCATCCATTTTCTCCAAGGGAACTGATCTCTGTTGTCTGGAGATCAGTTGCAATAGCGGGAGATCTCCAGGCCTCACCTGAAGCTTGGCAAACCAAATAGCTGGCAGCCCTAGCACCAGTGACAGATCGCATCCTTTCAGCCTTGTTAATCTGCGCCAAGTGCACACACGCCGTGCACCCCCCCCACACACACACACTTCCTTTCCTTGTCCCCTCAACAATCCCTGCTTTGTAAATGGGTTTCATTAAGCAGGAAGCTGTCGCTTAGTGGATGTAAATGCCTCAGGGATCGGGGCTTGTAAAACCACTTGTGGAGGAGCAGTTTGTGACAGCTGCCCGGTCCTAAGCAGGATTTGGGGCTCGCAGGCCCATCCATCTGGCCTAAGTGAAGAGAGCAAGGGGAGAAGCCGGAGGTCAGCATCCGGAGAGCCCGGCCTCGGTTCCCCCAGCGTCCCCCTAAACCGCAACAAACAACCAATTAGTTGCCGACTCCCAACAGAGCTTAAAAAGCCATTTCTGTGGATTTATCCTCGCAATAACAGGCAATCAGCCTAGCCGGCGATGGTGCCGTCTCTTTGTCAGGGACCGTTGTGGTCCCTCTCCACTCGTCACGGGGAGGTGCCGTGGGCTCCTCACCGTACGTGCTGTCTTACAAATGTTTACGACCGATGTCATCAATCCCACCCCACGATGTCCCCCAGCTCCAGCGTGGGGATATAAAGGCACCGCCAGCAGGCGGGGGAGCAGGACCGGGGACGCAGAGAGCAGGCCTCAAAGATGGAAGCTGCCCGCCTGCTGCTCGTGCTGGCCGTGATCTCCGGAAGCCTGAGGGAAGGCCGAGGCCTTGAGGAGGGACTCGGCTCCCAAGAGCTCTTCGCTGAGGAACCCAATGCGTATCCAGAGAGACTTTTGGACTGGATGGTAAGTAGGGATGCCAGCCTCCAGGTGGGACCTGGAGAACCTCTGGAACTACGGCTCACCGTCAGACTACAGAGATTAGCTCCCCTGGAGCAAATGGATCCTTTGGAGGGTGGACTCTGTGGCATTGTACCCCGCTGAGGTCCCTGTCCTCCCCAGGCTCCGCCCCCAAATCTCTAGGAGTTTCCCCTGCCGGTGGCCAGGGAGGACCTGGCATTCCTAAGAGGGTTAGCCCCCCCCCAAGCCCCACAAGGTGGGCTGTTTGAATCTTGTCACAGTTAAGGTGTACCATTTCTGCAAAGAGGTCCCAGGGCTGCTGAAAAGCTGGGCAGGAGGACAAAATGCCTCTGGCTCTGGTCAGCCTGTGGCCCCCGAGAGTCACGTGCCTTGCTCTCCCATGGGGTCTGGGTTGGGCTGTGGGTGCCAGAGGGCAATGTGGTGGAGGTGCCGCTTGGTTTGTCCCCGTTTAAAACTTTCACCTGGTTTGGGCTCTTGGCCGAGAGCAGCCCAGGGAAAGCTTGGCCAGTCCTGAGGGGTTCTAAAAATGGAGGCGAAGAGGGTAATAACTGAGGATCGCGAGACCTTGGAAAGAGGACGGCGCGAGCACAACGGTGCACGGAGGTTCTCCCCACTGCCAAAGGGTCCAGTTTGGAAGCAAAGGTGGAGCAAAACTTCAGTGTTCAAGCCAGCAGAGTGAAAAGCGAGCCCGCCCTGGGAACAGATGCCTGCTGCCAATACCCGGTCTCCCATTTCCCCCTTCAGGAGGCTCCCTGGGATCTAGAGAGCACCCCCAATACACACACACATTGAAAAGGAGAGGGGGCCATTGTTGCAGTCCATGGGGCTCAATAATCAATGGGATTTGATCTTCATCACCTGGCAGGGGGGACCAGTGGGCTAGGCTGGGACTTGGGGGGAGGGGATGGGCGATTGGAAGTGCAGGGGGGGGGGGGAGAAGAAGCAGTGGTGGTCTGAACGGCAGAGATCTAGCGGGTGGTGGTGGAGAAGGAAGCCGGGGCTATCACAAGCAGTGTTCCCTCTAAGCTGAGTTAGTGTGAGCTGGCTCACAGTTTTTTAGCCTCTGGCTCACACGTTTTTGGCTTAGCTCAGGAAGGAGGGCTCCAGAGCAAACTACTTTATGCAGTAGCCAAATAACTTGCTCAGAATTCTAATGCCAGTAGCTCACAAAGTAGAATTTTTGCTCACAGGACTCCACAGCTTAGAGGGAACATTGATCACAAGGTGTGAATTCCAAGACAGATTCTTGTCAAGGCCAGGATGGGAAACAGGGCTGAGTGCCATTAAGCACCTAAGGACTGGATCCCAACCTTTGATCACCTTTTTTTCTTCTCCTGAAGAGAGATTGGGCATTTGAGATCCTTGGTTGCTAAACGCCCAGATACCGCTCTCTCTCACTCTCTCACACACACATACAAACTCATGCTCTGTGAAAGAGCATGGCGCTCAGTGGTGAGAACAGAATGAGCAGTTGGTGGAATTATGTGAGCAGGGAGAAACAACGATGCTTCTGAACAAAAGGCAGTTTGGCAGGAGGATCCTATTTTCCCTTGGACTCAGAGCTGCCGCTCACAAGTAGCAGCCAATATGTGGTGTGAGGTGCAAATTGCTTTGAAAGTACCATGTAGATGCAAAGTCATATGGGAAGGTAACTAGGACTTCTTTCCTTCCTTCCAAAATAGTCAAAGGTGTTCATAATTTGTGCAATATAATGAGAATTCAGTTTTTCTGGGTGTAAAATTAGGATTGCCTTGGGCACGGCTTTGAAGTCAGGATATGTGTGTCTGTGCATGAAGCACGCAATGCACATGAGCAGCTAGTATAACCAACCTGATTTATTTGGGGTGAACACAGACAATAGGTCCACTGCTGTGAGGAGGCAAGTCACACAAGAAGGGATGGAGCTGCTGTCGGGTGCGTGTAAAATGCTGTTTGGTGTGAACCGATGCTTCTCCATAAAGACTTGCCCAGTCTTGGCATCTCCAAAGAATGTTGCTGCCACCATGGTAGCTGCACCTACAGCACCCTCACGGAGGAAGCCTCACACAAACGGGGACTGCGGTGCAAGAGCAGCCCAAATGGATACCCCACGCATTGCTGGAATGATTATGAAAGGGCTAGCACCTTCTTTGGTGTCCAATCAGTGTTGAATATTAACCATGGTTGTTCCCTGGCTTCATATTGCCTGCCACCCTCTGTCCCTCTTGGTTTTGTAGAGAATAGTTACAAGAATGGGCACAGTAATAAGGCCAATGAAAAAAGGAAAAAGAACTGTGACAATTAGTGCTTGGTGATATATTCATAAATCATAATATACAATAACAGAAAATAAGTAATATATATAGTGAATGTAGACGGTGGTCTCCGGAATGGTGTGCCGTTTCGACAATGATCTTATTCTGAACAGGTAAAGGTAAAGGTAAAGGTTCCCTTGCTCAAAAGCCAGTCGAATCCGACTCTAGGGTTGTGGTGCTCATCTCCGTTTCAAAGCTGAAGAGCCAGCGCTGTCCGAAGACTTTTCCGTGGTCATGTGGCCGGCATGACTAAACACCAAGGCGCACGGAACGCTGTTACCTTCCCACCGAAGTGGTCCCTATTTATCTACTTGCAATTTCTTGCTTTCGAACTGCTAGGTTGGCAGGAGCTGGAACTAGAGACAGGAGCTCACCCTGTCTTGCGGCACTCGGGTCTTGAACTGCTGAACTACTGACCTTCCACAGCCTGCAGTTCAGCGTCTTAACCACTTGAGCCACCGCAGCTCCCTATTCTGAACAGGGGTGTGTACAAAAACTGTCTTTCAACAATTCATTTCTTGGTGACGTATTGGAAATATACTGTTGATTCACTTCATTAAGAGGCTATGCTTACAGCTATGTTCTTCAATGGACTATAATTCAGCAATCCATTCCGGAGACCACCATCTACATTCACTATATATATTACTTATTTTCTGTTATTGTATATTATGATTTATGAATATATTACCAAGCGCTAATTGTCACAGTTCTTTTTCCTTTTTTCATTGGCCTCTTGGTTTTGTAGCCAGTCTGTCTGTGCTGGGATGTCTAGCTGGACTATTTGAAATATTCCGTCCTCTCGCTTAAAATATTTCCTAAGTGACGTACATCATCAATCAAAAGCAGTGTTTAAGAAATACACATTTGGAGGCTTAAGAGCCAGTGTGGTGTAGTGGTTAAGAGCGACAGACTCTAATCTGGGAAACCAGGTTCGAATCTGCACTCCTCCACATGAAGCCAGCTGGGTGACCTTGGGTCAGTCACAGCTCTTTCAGTGCTCTCTCAGCCCCAAAAATAAGTCTAGCTCACCATGCATAATGCTAGAGCTTCAGGCTGCCAGACAATGTTAGGATCTCCTGACTATACTGCACACAATGCCATGATAATTATTTATTATTATTATTATTGGAGGCTTTAAAAACAGCTGCATTAAAGTGGCAATAAAGTCATTAAAAAGAATGATAAAGAGGGGAGTCGTAAGCAGCAAGATCCTGTTGTGAGATAAAAACAGGAAATGCCGGCACTGGGAAAAGAATACAGTCGTCGAGCAGGAGGCTCTAATTCACTCCCAGCTGCCCCTTTTCCTTACAGCAGCAAGAAAATGAGGAGCACGCGGGCCAGAGCCCACCTGAAGAGCATCCGCTGGGTAGTCTCCTCCGTTCCCTGATGCACGCTGTCCAAAGACCGGGACGCAGCCCGTCCTTCCTATTCCAGCCCCAGAGGTAAGGAATGTGGACTTCAATACGACCAGCAGGATGTATTTCGGGATGACCCCATTCACAAGAACAAAGTCTGAGTCCAGCGGCACCTACAAAGTTTGATTCTGGGTATAAGCTTTTGTGTGCACGCACACGTCGCCTTCAGATCTGCACGCACGCAAAAGCTTCTACCCAGAATCAAACTTTGTAGGTGCCGCTGGACTCAAACTTTGTTCTGTTGCTTCAGGCCACCAGGGCTACCTGCCTGAATCCATCCCATTCACAAGTAGGTCTGCTTAAGTCACAAGGAAAGTGTTTTCTAAAACCAAACGGGACCCCATGCTGGCCTCACACCTGTAGCATCTAACTTGGACGGCTTGCCTTCAAAATCCCACCTGAGTGGCAGTGAACTGGTTATCGTTACTAGAGGGGATCCTACCATTCCATGGAGCAAAGCTTGAAGCCTTCTTCCAACTTATGTGGTTCTTCCACCAAGGGAAGAGCTGTATAAGCTGGAGAAAGACTCCTTAGGGGAGAGGTACTTTCTCCAGCCCAAGGTAGGATACATGTAACTTGAGCAGGAAAGAAAAAGGGACTCTGTACATGCTCAAATATACATAATGGTTCTATATTACATCTGTTGCATGTAGTAGTTAAGAGCGGCAGACTCTAATCTGGAGAACAGGGTTGATTCCCCACTCCTCCACATGAAGCCAGCTGGGTGACCTTGGGTCAGTCACGGTTCTCTCAGATCTCTCTCGGCCCCACCTACCTCAGAGGGTGTCTTTTGTGGGGAGAGGAAGGGAAGGAAATTCTGAGCCACTCTGAGACTCCGAGTGAAGGGCAGGGTATAAATCCAATCCTACTTTTCCTTTTCCTCCTTCCTCTCCTTCTCCTCCTCTTTTATGTGAGAGCCAGTGTGGTATAGGGGTTGGAGCAGGGGTCCCCAGCCTTTTTGAGCCCGTGGGCACCTTCGGAACTTTGCCAGAGCCTGGTGGAAGCAACCACAAAATGGCTGCCGCAGGAGGCAGAGCCAGCCACAAAATGGCTGCCGCAGCTTCCCTTCAGTCACACAATGAAGATCCTTGTGCTGTTGTGGCAGCTGCTGCCAAAGCAAAGTTTTTAAAAATCTGCACAGCCAATCAAATCTCCAGTGGCCAATCAGAAGCCTGGATGGGCAAAAGCACCCCCTGGACCCACCCACTTTCTAAAGATGCTGGGCAGGCACCAGGAAAGGGTATGGGTACCACATTGGGGACCCCGGGATAGAGTGCCAGACTAGGATCTAGCAGCCCTGCCTTTGAATCCCCACCCTGCCATGGAAGCTTGCTTGGGTGACCTTGGGTCACAGACTCTCAGCCTAACCTCCCTCACAGGGTTGTTGTGAGGATGAAATGGAGGAGAGGAGAAGTATGCAAGCCACCTTGGGTCCCCACTGGGTTGACAGGAGGGGGTATCCGTAAAGTAAAAATAAAACCCTCCAGCTCTGACATTGAAAACAGATCCCAAGATTGAGTGTAAAACTGTACGCCGCACAGTAGCTATCATAAAGCTGGGGAAGTATAGACGAGAGTACACCAGAGAACCAGGGGGTTGAATGCTTCCCCTAATGGGCCTTTTTGTTCAGCAAAAAAGGGGTGTGGACCATGACAGAGATTTATAGAACTAAGAATGGTGTGGAGAGAGATTGGACAGAGACAATTTTCTCCTCCTCCAATGACATTAGAACTACAGTGATGGATGCAGGGCAGGTGAAAGGAGGTCCTTCTTCACATATCATGAGCTTGTGCGACGAACAGTTTCTGTTGGCTGAGACAGCTTTAAAGAAAGGTTAGGACAGACTCACAAAGGACAGGTCTATCAACACCTATCAACCATGGAGACTAATAAATGGGACCTCGGAGTACAGAGGCACAGGGTAATTCTGAGCTCCAGTGGCCGCTGCGTGAAACAGTGCCAGATTGCACAGGTCTCCGGTCTGATCCAGCAGGGCTTTTCCTATCAGTTTTCACCACTATGTCTTAGGGAGAGGTAATTGCAGGCAGACACCATGAACAGCAGCACGCCAGGGCAATTTGCTCAGCAGGGCATCCTTCTCCTTTGTTGCTGTTGTTCAGTCCCACAGTCAAGTCCGACTCTTCACGACCCCGTGGACCAGTTCACACCAGGCATCCTTCTCACTGCACCCCAAAAAGCATGGAGAAGGGTGAGGGGACTCAGCTCAAGAATGGGAGACCGAAGGACTGGTTGGAGGCTTGCAGGATCCGGGGAGGAGTCCTTTCTTATAATAATGTGCCATCAAGTTGTAACCAACTTATGGTGACCTCATGAAATCCCACCTCATGGGGTTTTCAAGGCAAGAGATGAGCAGAGGTGGTCTGCCATTCCCTTCCTCTGCATAGCAGCACCTGCCTCCCTTGGTGGTCTCCCGTCCAAGTACTGGCCCTGCTTAGCTTCTAGGCTCTGCCACCCTCCAGCTAGTCTGGGCTATTGCGGCAGCTTCCCCTTCTGACAGAGCAGCAGGAGTTTAAAATTGGAATGTGGAGGTGTGATCGTTCTGAAACTTCTAAACTCTCCCAGGGCTGTCCTTGAGCCCTGCTCGGAACCCGCTCACAAAGCATCTTTGGGGAGCAGACATTATGGGAAAGATTGTGTTCCTCCATTGCAATCAACACACCTAAATGTGCGCATCGGAAGCAAAATCACAGATGTTTCATACTGACGTTTCCAAAGCAGCCTTATTTTTAGCCCCTTACGCCTATGCAAAAAGAAAGAAAGGAAGAAATCTGCAGCCTAAGCAGTGTGTCTGGCCCAGTTCATTCCCACTCTTGCTTTCTTTGCTGGTACAGTTACGTTTTCACAAGTAGACACTGCGGTATTTTCAACGCTCAGTTCAAAACAGACCGATGGGGAATATCTAACAGGGAAAGCAGCAACAGAAAATTAAGGACTCAACTTCATGTGTCATCGTGGAGTCCCGATCAGATCCACCTTTGTATGATTTAGCTGCAAAAAAAAACGCCCAAGGATGGCGGGGATATGGGTCAGGGCTGGGGAGGGCGTGAACTCTTTCACCACCCACCTGGTGCCCTTTCCCTGTTCAAAAATGCCCCCCTTTCCAGGCTGCTGAGTCCCGGTAAGGAAAGAAAGACGGGAGCCTGTTGGGTCTGCCTTTTCTCCCCACAAGACCGTAGAGTACATGGGGTAGAGGGCCCCTTTCCACTGCAGAAGCAGAGCGGGAGGAAGGTTTTAGACCTTCCCCCTTGCTGATCTGGGGGGGGGAGGGGGCAGAGCGGCTTTTAAACCCTAAATTACATGTCAGAGGATCACACTGCAGAGCCCCATCAGGTTCCTGCTCTCCTGTTGTTTCTGCCTCCGTGGCAGTTTGGCCTAATTTATCAAGCGGGACTCTTTTAGATTAATGTTGGAAGGGTGGGGGTTTATTAATGGGTTTTATTGTACTGCTTGCTCACCCGTGTTCCCACAAGATGGCATGTGTTAAACAGTAATCCCCAGGACTAGCTCCAGATGTTTCGTCGTCCCAAGCAGGGTATACCAGTCCCTTCCTGGGCCCACACTGTTGTTGGTCGTTGACACAGGGGCTTGCCTTGGACCTGACAGGCAGCAGTGCAGACCCACAAAGGGATGCTGGTCCTCCTCCGTACTGCCCGAAGGCGGGAGCCCCTGCAGTGAAGCCTTCGCTCCTCATTTGGCCACCCCCAAGCAGCCAGTTGGCTGGAGAAACTTGGGCTGGCAACATGGAGTGGGGCTCAGCTGACTCAGAGAGGATCTCTCTTCCATAGGGGGGATTATCCCCCCCCCCACTTCTTTGGATCTCTTAGGAACACGAGTAGAGGCCAGACACCTCTCTGGCATGTCTCCTGCACAGCTGCCTGCCTTCTTGCCTTCCTTCCAGTCCTGCAGGAGAGAGATGAGGGGCAGGTAGTGATCCGCTAGGGCCCCAAATTGAGGGATCGGTGGAGGGCCCAGGTGTCCAGGGAGGAAGCAGTGACCCGCGAATGTTTTCTGTGGGGGTGCCAAAAATCTCTCTCCAGGGATCCGATGGTAAACGGTGCTTTGGTAGGGTTTTTTTGTTTTGCTTTTTTGCAATAGGTTTGGTCGCGACGCCAGAAGCAGTCTCAGCAACGGTGGCCGGATCAATCTCCGGGCGTGGGACTCCATGGCGCCCCAGTTTCTGAGCATGGCTACGCCGCAGCGCTTTGGCAAGAAAAAGTGAAGGAGGACCCGGCGGGGCAAAACCCCACCATGAACTGTTGCCAACCGGGACCCGAGCTCCTTCTTGCACTTCCGCCGTTCCTTCTGTGTCTTATCACTGTGCTGTGGGGCGACTGACGCCCCTACTGTGGGTTTGTGCTTTGCTCTTTGTTAACAATAAAACAAGAGGCAAATAGCCAAATCCTGTATGTCCTGTTGACTGGCTAGACTGAGGATTCTTCCCCCGCATCTGCCAGAGCCTTCATACTCAGTGGCAGAGCAACGGGTCTGCCTGATAAAAGGTCCCTGGTTCAGTCTGCAGCGTCTCTAGCTAAAGCTCTTTGCGGGGCTGAGAAAGGCTGGTGTCTGAGGTCTGAGGGAGTGGCGGTCAGTCCAAGCAGACAGGGCTAAGCCAGCCGGAACAGCGTTCTTATGTGAAGGCAGCTTCACGGTAGCAGAAATATTGTGTGTGGTCTTTCTCCATCCTACCCCCAAGAAGGTTCTTGCACACAGCAGAAGGCAGCTCTGGAACCAGGGCAATGGAGTTCTGTCCTCTGCAAACAAAACGGGAACCAGGCGTATCGGCAGCATTCTGCCAATGGCTTGGGAAGGTGCGATTACTGCAGGTCCAATATGCAACCACCCCGATCCAAAGAATTAAGGACACTTTTCAGAAGAGGGAGTGGCAGTTTCCACCAGTACCTCTCCCTCCTGTGGCAGCCTAATGAGTCACTCAAAATTTTCTGGGGGGAGGGGGGATGGTCAGCCGACTTGCCACAACAGCATAAGGAGGGCAGTGGGATTGGGGAATCACTTGCTGACTCTTCTTCCGAAAAACAATCAGGCACAATGCGCGACTACCCAGTCCACACACCATGTTCCCCTGTGCATGCATGCCTAGAGAAAGCTGGTAATAAATTACACGGGACAGCAAAGGCTGTGGGCGAACTCTTCCATACCAAAACGATAAAAGCATCAGTGGTCAATTGATTTGTAAGATCAGTAGCAACAGGCCTACCATTAAGAATATTGAAAGAGCCTGATCAGTTCAAAGCCCAGCTTCCTGTTTCCCAGTGGCCAACCAGATGCCTCTGGGAACTCCCAATGCAGAGCATGAAGACGACAGCCCCATAATCACTGTTACCAGTAAATGGCATTCAGAGGTACACTATCTCTGAAAAGGAGGTCTTGCTTCACCATAGTGGCATCGTTCTGTTCAAATTACAGTGAACGCGCATACAACCTGCCTGTACGTGTGTACTTCTGTTTGTCAAAAAGAGCCAACATGCATTCACTTTATGAACACAACGAAGGACCACTACCTGGATAAATGTTGGGTTTCAACTGCATGTTCAGCTATATGTGCATTGGCTGTAATGAGAGAATGACTCACTGCACATGCAAAGATCAAGTGTATATTGTACATGGGACTGCACAAGCAGTCACTGTAATCTGTGAACAGGGCTAGTCTGGGTGGATGGAGGGCTGTGCGGTCACTGCCAGTAAACACTGGGCCAGCAAATATCAAGGGTGGGAAGCAAATTTAAGTGTCCCCACATACGGTTCTCTAATCCCCCCTCTGGAACTAAATTCATAGAGTCACCATAAGTCAGAAGCGACTTAACAGCACTTCATACTCACACACACACGCACGCAAGAACTAAATGGCAAAAAGTTCCTTCGTGCGGAAGAAAATGTTAGATGTGATAAGGCTTTACGGTGAGGGTCAGATCTGTTCCCTGGTGCCCTCACCCATGGAGGATCCAGCCTGCTCCTACCTGCATGAACCCATCCTTCCACCTGTGGAATGTTGTCCGGTTTCTTGGGATGTCAGAATGTTGGATACTAAGAGGACAATGGTAAAAGCAGAGTGAATGGAGGTGTGTGGGGGGTGAATATTCATCCTGCAGCAATACATTGTAGAGGAAACAAACATTGTACATTGTAGAGGGAAAAAAGAGAATGGATTCATACAATGCCACGGAATTACTATTATTTCTTTTGGCAAGATGTTCTTATGACGGCCATTAGCATAAACGTTCATTTTACAAACAGGATTAAACTGTCCAAACAGCACCCTCTCAGGTTCAGAAACAGTATTTATCTCTGTCCACAAGGCACAGTGGACTAAACCATACACTGAACGGCATCGGCATCATTTGCTTGTGAATCACTTTGCACCGGCCGGAATCAGGCGGCCAGTTTTTCTCTCCCACTGTTACCATGATTAAGGCTAGTTTACGGGCAACAGAATCAATGTGTGAAGTTTCTCCCAGGTTGCGCCATCTTGGACTGGAAGGGGGTGGAGTTTGCACATTTGCCTTCTGTGTGGGGTAGGGGAAAAACCCCTCCATGCAGAGGTGAGAAAAATGAGGATTTGTGTTCACTTTGGCAAACACGTACACTCAAATTGGAACGATGCAGAGGGATTTGTCTTCCGTTTGGTGGTAGGAGGGATTTCTGGGAGAATGAACACTTTGGGAAAGGACTAATTATTAATCTTAAATAATGAATTAATTATTAATTCTGGCTGGGGGGGTTGGGTAGAGAAATCTGTGCAAAAAAAATGGAAAGCAAGTATTTTTCATACATTTGGGACACGCTCATGATGATTTAAGGTCTGGCTGTGGCATTAAAAGATCCCTCCTGAATTAGACCAAGGTCCATTTTGCTCAAGCAAAGAAGAGTCAGGCAGGGGCCTCTGGAAGTTCTCAAAGAGGGCACAAACTTGATAAGACTTCCCCTGTTCCTGGCTATAGCCTCTGAACACGAGATTCTATTTAGCTGCCACGGCTAACTATCCAAGTCAGCAGTCATAGACACACCAGGTGCCAGTGAATTCTATACATTATCTGAGTGTTTTGTGCACAAGCATCAACCGTGCTTGATTTGCTTTTGTTTTTTCAGTGAAAACTGAATAATCAAATAGCAACCACACTGTATATAACTGCAATGAAAAACAACAATAAATCAATTTCCTGTGTTTATTTATTATCACAATCATAAACAAACTCTGAAGACTGTAATAGAAAAGCCAAAATGCATAACAGGATGCTGGAATATACTAAGACAGTCTCTGTAAACACCGTATGCCCACTTCACAAATGATCCAGTATCCTAGAAATGGCCGGTCCCCGTTCACATATCCAGCATCCTGTTATGCGTTCTGGCTTTTCTACTATGGTCTTCAGAGGTTCCTAACTGTATCAAATTTTTAAAAAGTTTTTTTCCCCATTTTGTAATAAGCAATTTGTTTATGATTGTAATAATAAGTAAACATTGGGAAACTGATTTGTTTTTGTTCTTCGTTGCAATTATATACAGTGCAGTTGCTATTTGGTTGTTTTTTTCAGTGGCAAGGAAAAGCCAAAGTTCGCTTAAAGGACGGATTGTTTTTGAAAGGAAAATGATTCTGAGAGTTTGGTGTTGCGTCCCCACATCTGCCTTGCACTGAGTTTGCCATCCTGGACAAGACACTCACCTCCACCTAATCCAGCATGTGGTTCCCAACATGGGCCCACCGTAAGCCTCTGGGTCGCTTACAAGCAGGGCCCGAAGGCAACAGCTTTCCACTCAAGTACTGAGAGAGACTACCACTGCACATGGAGGTCCTGTTGAGGAAGGGTGTTCTCCAGCAGGGCTGGAGAAGGAAGGAGGGAGTCTTGTGAAGAGGAAACAACTGTGGTGGGAGTGGCCTAGCAGAGTGGGTGGGGCTTTTATCACCTCCCCACTTTTTGGAAGCCCCAGCTCCCTCTGCCTCCCTGAATGTAAAAAGTTAGCATTTTCTGTACTCATTTAGTTTCAGGTGGGCAGCCCGTGTTGGTCTGCAGCAGGAGAGCAAGATTCGAGTCCAGCAGCCCCTTAAAGAACAACAAGATTTCCAGGGTATCGGCTTTCGAGAGTCAGACAAAGGGAGCTTTGGGGCTCTTGGAACCTTATACCTGAGACATCTTGCTGGTCTCTGAGGTGCTACTGGACTCAAATCCTGTTCTATGCTAATTTAGAAATGTAAAGAGCCTCCCCCCCTGCTGTGCCAGGTCCCTTCTGTTTCTTTCAAGACAGGATAGCATTCAAACACACGATTCCTCTCTCGCAGCCTGAAGAGGCATAATCGAGGGAAAAGCTTTAACATCTGATGCTGCCGTAGGTAGAAACTGGGCCTCAGCCCTCCTGGGACCGCTGTCAAGAGGTACACAGTTCCGCAGCATGTATTCTACACCAATCACTTTCAAGGTCCGATGGGTAAAAGGCAACACCTCCTTATAGAGCTCCAGTTTCTGAAATCCAGTTCTCATCCCCCTACTTCAAGGAGGAGTGGGGTAACCTCTGATGAGGCCACGGCGGGCCGATCCCGCCCCTTTAGGGCTCAGGGCTGCAAGTCTCCACCAACCTCCTTTGGAGCTTGCAGGTACCACAAACCCCAAGTCTTCATTCCAGCTCGAAGTCACTGCCCTTCTCCACCCCACAGAATACTGGGGGGGGGGGCCCAGCCCGCCTGCTGTCAGCCTGCCCACCCCATCAACCTCCAAGTCAGAAGAAAATGAAGCAGCCCTCCTAATTGGCAGGCGAACAGAGCCCAGCCCTTTGGGAAGCCAGGGGGACCCCAGAGTTCTGGGGCAGCGTCTGGTTACGTCACTTCCCCCCCGCCATGATCTTGAGGTACTGCAAGGCGTTGCGGGCGGCGTCAGTCCGGGCGGCATTGCGGGAGGTGGCTGAGCCGTGGCACACCGTGGTTGGCTGCGTGGAGAGCTCCACCAAGCACTGGTACAGGCCGCTCAAGCTCCTCTCGTCTGTGGAAAGGGAAAGAAAAGGAAACAAACAAAAAAACATATCCAGCAGCAGGTCCCTTGGTAGCCTGCCATGGAGACACAGCAGGGGTCTGCAATTTTAAATGCAACGGGTTTGCTTCTTTAAGCCGGAGGACCAGTTTCATCCAAATTGCACTTCTGAAGAGAAAACGCTGCATATTCCAGTTCTCAATAAAGAGCTGATCCCCTAGTGGTGTAACAGCTGGAAGGATTC